CTATTTATATCTATTAAACTTTTTTTTTAGTTAGATTCTCTATGCTTAAAATGCAGTGTGCTTAAAATGTGTTCAAATCTCTGGGATTCATATATTCCGATGGTAATTAAATTTATTTTCTTTATGTAGACATGAAAACCTATTAGGTTTATTTTCAAATCTCAAATATTAAATAGAATTCATTGCATTCACTGTAATCATTAATAATATAATTTTTAAAGATCAAAAATCCTGACAGATAATATTAGTTAAAAATCTACTATTATCAAACAGAATTTAGGAATATTGAATTAGATTCAATGCCTCCTAAATAGAATACAAAATTATTAAATTTTTGTTAAAACATTTTGATGACTAGTACAAGACATATCTATGTCTCATTAATAGAAATGATCCAAGCGTTTAAACGTGTCGTTCAAACATTCGTCTGTCTTAGTCTCTTGAATGTCTTTTATTAAGCCCCAACAATACTCATGTTAATTTAAAAATATATAAAAAGCTTAAAAGACAAAGTCGCTCTCCGTCGTTAAATTATCTCATAGATATAGAGAGACAAGTGGTCTATTTCGTTATCTTATCTTCTTGATTAGAAATTTAGAATAAACTTGAACTCCTTTTCTTTATGGTTTGTTTCAGTTTCTCCTTCAAACGATTAAAATAAATCTGTGGTTAGAGGTTCTCCGGTTAATCTTAGAAATCGTTAACAAGCCCAAGTTGGAAAGTGATAAGTTACTCTTTTCTAACATATACCTAGTAAATTTAAGTTCATTATAAAAATAAATTATAGCTTATATTTGATTTTATTTCCTGTTTGCCATGTTTTTGTATGGAATATGCTCATCATCTTTCGTGTGTATTATTAATTTCAAGAAACAAATAGAATTAAGAAATCTCTCTGTTTACCTTTTATTAAAACGTCGCTTTTGAAATATATATATATATATATCAACTGAAATAAATAGTATCATTATGTTTACGTAATAATACTACCTTGATTATTTGATAAAAAAAGAATACTACCTTGATTCCAATTTGTAGAGTGATATTTTTTAAAAAAAAACGTGTTCAACTGTATAGAAATTTCCAAAAGTGACATTTCTAAAACACAAAGGTTTATTTCAAACAAGTGTATTACATTTCATTTGCTTTTCACGAAAGGAATATGTGTTGTTGGGGATGGACTTGACACCAAATTCAGCTTAAGAAAAATTCTACTAATTTAATATTTAAAAATAGGTTAATTTAAGTTTAAATCAGTCTGAAAAATTGAGTTCAGACTATGTGTAACTCTGAAACGAAATCCGAGTTTCTACTTCGACGACACATATAGCAAACTTCAAACACATAAAATGGGGAGAAAAGCTGAAAGAAATAACCATATCTCCAACTTAATAAAGCAAGCCTGAAATTCACATAGTTAAAGAAAACAAGTGAGTTTGGAGAACTGTTAGACCCGATCAGAAACTATAAAAGAAAATCGAAACTTTACCTAGAGACGATTTAGACTATAATTTTAAATTTTACTATTGTACGTTCTATTAATTTACTATAAACACAAAAACACTTATTTGTCAAGATTATCTAATTTATTTCGATTCATCAATACATATCCAGTTCATCCATTAGAATCTCATTACATCACTCATAAAAGGATTTAGCCCTTCATTCTTTTCTCAATCACAAAATTTAGATGTGAATTTTAGCATCCACATGTGTTACATATTTGTTTTTTTTTTGTTAAGTAAATATATATTTTCGTTAAAATCCCGTGTATTATAGATATTCTATTAATGATAAAGCGAAAAATGCTTTCACCACAAAAGAACACACCATGAACTAGTTATTCACTACTGAAATGAAACCATATCGAAATGCAACTATATATAATGTCCTCAAGATTTAGTCCGACGATAGATATTACTTCAACATCGAACCCAATTCTGGTTCTCGTCATTCACTTGTATATATGTTGCTTAAATGATTGTTTTTTTTCCAGAAATTATATGTATAGTCAAACAGAAAATCTAAAAAAATATCATCAACTAGTTCGAGCAAGACCCTAAAAGATTTGCCTAACTCCCGTATCTACACACACTTTACTGCACACGCTCCAAGTGGGATATTAGAGTGGCAAATCTCTAACTACAGATTTTGTGTTCGAGACATTTATTTTCTTAATATTATAGTATTCTGAATATATATAATAAAAATTTGAAAACTGATAAAAATGAAAGCGATGTTTCTTTCTTTTCTATTTTAGATTTTATTAGGTCTATTTTAATATATGTTTGGAACTTTTAATTAGACCAGTGTCCATGGCCTAGAATAAGATAAAAAGCTCACCACCTTTTGAATTTTGATAGGCCACTTCTTAAATTCGAATTTCCATCTTACCAATCTACCCCTCCAAATTTCGTTTCTTATTCTGTCTATTCATCAATTATTGCACTAAAATCTGGAGAAACATGCTCGAAATCTAAGTTGGGACAAAGATGTCCAATAGCGTGATTCGTCTACATTTTAATGACTTCTTGTTAACCTCGAATCCCATGATTTTTTTTTATACATATACAAACATATAACACCAAATATTATCAACAGTTCCATCAGAAAAAATTATACTATTAGTATTAGGCTATTAGCAGCATCAACAATGTTGCAGCTGCAAAAGTAGGCGAATCTCTTTTATTCCGTGTTTTGGAATTTGGATGATGTCTAGATTTCATATGACCACTTTTGGTAAGCATATTGTGACTCCACTTTTACTTTGGTACGAAAATGGTATATTTTTTTATTTTTAGTATTGATCTATTTTTATTATATATATACTGATATACACATATAAAGAATGACTGAAATTTTGAACTTTTCTGGTTGATTTGATGTTTTTTTCTTATTAAAGAGAGAAGTATCAAGTTCTGAATTTGGCTTTGGGCACTAAAAAATAGATCAATAATAAAGAAGTGATTTTTTTCTTGGCAAAAAGAAAAAAAAAGAAGTGAATTTAAAGAAATAAATATATTCTTGTGTTAATTTCGGTTTGACAAAAAATCATAGATCACAAAGTTAAAAACTTGTTTGTATAAAATGTAAAACAATTGCAAACTAACCTTTTTATTTTTAGGAAATAACACTTTGTTATGGATGAAATTTAGTAGACATATATCAGATTCGTATACTCCGACAGAAGAATATGTTATTACTTAATACATATTGATATACGTACATAAATATAAAGATAAACCCACAATGTACATTGAAAAAAGTTATTTTCTCCCTAAAATTTAAAGCTGTTATGGGCGAAAAACTAACTTATCAAAAACATACTAGATCTTAAACGAAAAGCTCAAATTAAATTTTGGAAATGGGATGAAAACAAGGTATCGATTAATTAATCAAAAACAAAAGGACAAAAGAAAGTGGTTAATTGATAGTAATAGATTGTGGAGTGTACTATAATCGGTCGAATCAATTGGACAATCTCATAAATTTTTGTGGACGAGTGTTAGTTGTGCGCCATTACCCATTAGTCTTCCCACTAACTTTGTTTTGTTTTCCTCTCCTTTTCACATCTTTAAAGTCTTTTTCCTTGCGAAAAAGTCTTGTTCCTGCAATATTATTCTTTTTCTGTCAATTTTATGCCATATGATTTATTTAGTTTAATGAAACAATAAAATTATAAAATATTGAGTATTGACCGGATTCATGAGAGGACAGAGGGAGAATGAAAAATATTTGTCACTACATACGTATTTTAAATTAATTTTTGATAACTGAAATCAATTTGAGTAATCAATCTTAGTTTAAAGATTAAGAATATATTTTTTGTCATTCTAAAGTACTTGAATACAAAGAAAGACATAATTTTTTTTTACAATTTTCTATATGAGATTACAAATTTTGTTTTTTGTTTGTTTTTGGTTATGAAGATTACAAAATCTACTTAATATGTAAAAAGATTCTCTTATACATTGCGTGCATATGTGTTTTTTGTCCCATCTAATCTATCAAAGCAAAAACAAAACCAGAGAGGCTAAGCAAGGAAGACAAAAACAGAGGACCAACTACATCCTTAAGCCAACGTGGACAACCTTGAACTACATAAGACAAAGATGATCAACTACACTTTTCGCAATTTAAATGGCTCATTTTTTTGTTGCAAGAGGGAAGCTTCATTAAGATTATATATACCAATGAGGTTTGGTTCTTCAACTTCTTTGTAAAACTCGGAAGTTCTACAACAGCCGGCCACTCCTTTGGGTTGATTGAGCGCCTTATTAATCTCCATAGAGGTAGCTCCAAAGTTAACATATGCTCCCATATGTAAACTTTTCTTTACGTGCATATGTTTTTTTGATATTAAAACCAAAACCAAAAAAAAAAAAAAAAAAAAAAAAAGACAGGCAACCTAAACATAACAGGCCCAAATGGGTAAATGGGTTCATTATTGGGGGGAATTATAGCTTTGGCATTATCTACTACTAGTCTTCGGCCTACTGTATTTGGCTTTTACACAAGTGCATGCAAAATGCAAAAAAAAAAAAAATGATGTTTGTAATCTAGCATATTGTGTCTTTGTTCCGGTAAGCCGCCGAGTATAGGACTCGGTGGAAATGTTCTAATGTAAATTTGATGCGTTTGAGATAACAAAAGAGAGAACCAAGGAATGTTGGTTTAATTGCTCGGTGTTGCTGGTGAAGGATTCTCCTCACAACACAACTCGATCCTCTTCGGTCCAAGATCTACCAAAACTATTACAGAGATCACCAATGATCGAAGGACAATCTGATTAGAGAAATCCCCTAAACCATATTTATCAATTCATTTTTTTAAACATCCATCAACTGTTAAATATATACTAACAAAGGAATTCGATCTGTGGTTACTATAGTCCAAGTCCAATGGAGTTCTCTTAGGGATGTTACACAAACAAGAAATCTTCATAGACTAGTTATAAGAATAAACCAATTTTTTAAAAAAATGATCCAAGAACCAAATGGATAAAGAAGGGTAAAAATCCCCTGAAACTTATCATTCATTACAGATTTTAACAACTAATACTACTAACCAACAAAACCTCATTGAGATTTCGTATCCAACATACAAAATATATGATTTGAGGTTAATGTAAAATCTTCTCAACTAAACTATAGTTACAATAAATTCCAACAGAATTAACTATTAAACAAGAACAACAAACAACATGATAAATACCTGTATTTTAACGTGTGATCAAACTCTAGAATTGATCTTGTGCAAAACTCCATCAATGGCGATATCAACAGCATCTTTCTTATTCATCAACCCCATTGAAGAACCATGTCTTCTATACATTACTCTAGGCATCATCTCTATCACTCTCTCCCTCATCCTCTCGACTTCTTCTCTCGGTATCTTCATCAACACGTCTGCGATACTCACTCCCCTGAAAACCACGTCTTCCTTCGGGATCGTCACCGAGAACTCCGAGAATTCTTCCTCCGGTAAATGCCACCGGTACTGCATTTTCGCCGTCTGGTCTTCGAAAAACACCGGGATGCATCCGGCGATGATTCCGTCGAACGTCGCCTTCCTAGTCGGAGTATCTCCCGGCGGCTGCAAGCAAAACGAAGATTGCAGCATCGGTCTCATGAATCGGATCGGATCGTGCTCGCAGATCCCGTTCGAGCAATCGACGAAATCGCAGATTTTGCCGAAATCGGAAGAGATCTCCGGTTCGGTTCCGGTTACGTTCGTGCTGGTACACTCTAACCGGATGCTACGACGGATATTCGGAGAAGAGGAGGTTCCTCCTCCGCCGGCGAATAGCATTAAAGAGGTTCGCCGTGAGCGACGGACTCTCCGGATCCACGATTCCAAAAACGGCAAGCTGTGTGGGTGAAACGACGTCGGATAAGGAACCGCTTGCTCCTGCCACGGCCAGAAACGCGATTCAAGCGTTAACGCGGTGAGATTGAAGAACTCGGGTCGTTCGAGGAACGAAGTTCCCCAAATGGGAGGGTCAACGGTCAACGGCTGAGAGAAATCCCAAGCGGGTCGGGCCATGACGAGGAAATGGTCGTGACCCGAGCGGCGAGACCAGATCTCAGGCGAGTCTCGGGTCAGAAACTCGAGAAGATCCGACCCGTGATCAGCGCTGGAGTTCACGTCGGGTCCGTAAAGGTAACGGAGAGAATCGATTCCGGCGTAGTAAGGGAGATAGACGGCGGAGGCGAGATTCGGGTCGGGTGTGAGACATGGATATTCGAGGATCCGACGGTGGAAAATGAGTTCGAGAAGAAGCGGGTCTGTTCGATACCAGCTTCGGGTACGGGTATGGGTTTTTGGGCCGAGACCGTGGTTGGATAAGTAAGGGCAGAGATCGTCGGTGATTGGGTAGCGATTGCAAGTTGAGAGAAGATCGAGGTTGAATCGAGAAGGGAGTGTACGGATGTGGATCCAACGGCCGGCGCATTCCGAATCGACGGTTGAGATTTGCTGTGAAACATTAGGCTCGATGAAGAAGAAGAAGAAGAAGATGATGGTCAATGCTGTGACGGTGGATTTGGAAGCCATAGTTATGGAGGTTGTCGGAGTGAGAGTGGTGGTTTCCTTTTTTTCTCTCTCTGTTTATTAATTGTAGGAATAGTTTAAGGTAATTACAGAAACACGTCCCTATACTATATATTAAAATGCTTTAATTGAAGGCATCATTATTTCTAAATAACAAAATAACCCCGCTAAAGACTCAAACCAAGGTCTTTTCTGGGTATTTTGTTCTTGATTAGGGAATTTGAGGTAATATTTGAGTCCTAGACTCATTTTTCTTAAAAAGTAAACTTTCATATCTAAAGACGAATCTAACGGGGAAGATGGGTTATTTGTGTGTTCAATAATTGGATTTGGATTCCTAAAATAAGAAAACAAGTAAAATTAAAACCGGGATTAAATTGGTATGGTTCTTGTGATTCAACCGAACCGAATAAAGTTTATGAGATTCGATTTGGTTTTAATTAAACGAATTCAGTTATATTGCCTTCCCTCCAAAACAGAGCGACGACCTTATGATCTTGTGAGTTATCTTCGCTGATGCGGATCGCTTAAGGATGGATGTGATCACAGACATTGTTAAATCCACGACGGAGCTCCAACCGGCTCTGTTTCTTGAAGCTTTATGTCAACTTCTTGCTGGGTTTAAATACTCAGGTTCGTCTCCAATAGTTTGAGTCTCTTTTCATGGCGCTTGTTGAAGTAGAAGGTGTTGATATTTTGAAGTTATATGTTTTACATATCTCTAACGTTACGGGTGATTTGCTACGGAAAAAAGTTCACCACCTTTTATCATTCGGTTCAGTATCCTATCAGAATTGGTGATGCATATAAAGGTTAAACTCTCTAGCAAAATAGTGTAAAAGAGGATTAGTTGAGTCACTTTTGCTTTCTGTACAAGATTTTAAAGTTTTTTAGCTTCAGTTTTCTTTTAAGACACAGTTTGAAATTCTAATCTGAAATAGAGAAGATCATATGAACTGAGGATTCAATTTAGATACCATTTTAGATAGAACATAACTATTATCATACTCCCTCCGTTTCACAAAGAATGTCAGACATTTTTCACACATATTAAGAAAATTATTAAAAGTACAGATTTGTCTCTTATTAATACATTAAATAATTTGTTTTCATCTAATAAATATATTAAATTAATAAGATTAAAACTAAAATATTATTTAAAATTTTGCATTGAAAATATAAAACGAAGAGTGAAACAAAAATAAAACCTTAAAACGACACTCTTTGTGAAACAGAAGGAGTAAAAGATAACAAAATATGAGTTCAAGGTAATTCCCTCGAGAAAATTGTGAAATATATAAATGATAAAGTTAAAATTTTTAATACAGCTTAATTTATGGATAATATGGAAAAATGATAAAATTATTAAGATATAAAAGCAGAAACTGTTAATAAGGAAAAAAAAACTAAAAGGCAAAAAAAAATGGAAAGCAGCAAGAGAATGAAGCTTTTGATTCTGTCCTACACAATTATCAAAAACTTGTAGCGTTTTCCATCTTCCCCCATTTCACCAAAGTCTTGAGAAACTTCTTCACCTGCAACACCATTAATTTCCAATTAAACTCACATTACAAATTTACATATAAGTTATAACATAACACATATGATGATTTGAGACTAAAAATACTTCTCATAATGTGTTCTACGCTGTTGAAAGCTAAAGACACATGAAGTGTGTAATGCATAGCTTATATAATTTGTACCTCAGAGGGGTCTCTAAGAGAGTAGAATGCATTGCTTTCTTTTGGCACAGACGATACCAATATTCCAAATCCTTGCTTCTTCTCCCTCAGTACCTTGAATGCATCTTCATCGGTTTTGTCATCTCCGATGAAGATTGGCAGGAAATCATCATTGTTACTTAATCCGAGAGATTCCAAAAGAAACTCGACTGCTTTTCCTTTGTTCCACTCGATCACAGGACGAACCTCTAAAACCTGATCATATCAACAAAACCAAGTCATTAACTGTGTTTAAAGGCTTGTGGATTGAATATCAAAACAGAGCCGTTCAAAGTAGGTACCTTTCTCCCGTGAGTTAGACGCAGACGAGGGTACTGTTTCAGGTGGTCATGAACTCGTTGAGCAACGATTGGCCAGTCCTTCTCGTCAACATTACGGTAATGTACAGAGGCACAAAACTTGTGGTTCTCTACCTTTGCACCTTTGATGCATTTAGTTATCTCAACGAGGGTTCTATATACCTCTTCGATGACGGGTATGAACTCTTTCGCAGGCTGAAAGAGGTTTACCTCTTCACCCTATTTTAAAGAAAAGGAATAAAGGATTTAAAAGAGTTGATCATCTATTACATATGAAAGTGAGATATGAAAAGAGGTAATGAATTTTTCACCTGTTGGTCAGTTGATTTTATACAGTTGGTGTCTTCTTCAGGGGACCCATTTAGATTTGAAGGAGTCATTATGTCCATCCCATGACTACCCGCGTAATAAAGTTCGGTTAGTCCTACCAATTCATAGACCTGGCACATGATGAGCAAACTCAAAACTGTTATTACCGTTTCAACTTTGGTTAAATCTGTATTACTGTGCTGATACAGTTAAATAAATGGTTTAAGAGTTTCACCTTGTCACGGCTTCTACCACTAATTATTGCTGTAGGGAAGTACTTGGCCACGTCTTTAACAGCAGCACGCATCTGAGAGAGATAGAGAGAGAGAGAGAGCAAACACTTAGCCTTTTGTGTTTAAGACCAGAGAGCATAATTTAACATGTCCAAAAAAAACAAAGGGGTTTTGGCTCTTACCGCATCAGACATGATGGCACGATCAGGGTCATCGACTATTGGGGAAAGTGTTCCGTCATAATCAAGAAACACAGCTATCTTCTTGTTCTTTGCTTGAGCTGCGATATGCCCAAAGGAAGTAATCGCTGAAGGATACTTGAGCTGTCCAGATTTTAAAAGATACAAGTGGTGAGGGCTGAGAAAACAATAGAGAGATGAAAAAACATTTTTGAATGAAAAGATGAGATATTGTGTATTTTACCATCCAGGCTCGTTGAGAAAAATCATCTTCAGGAGCAATCTCGATGTTGAAATCCTTGACTAGCCTCTTACGTGGTGGTGAAGAGGAAATCATTGCGTCCAACCAACCATTGGATCTAACATCGTCGAGTTTAGGGATCTTCTTCCTCGAATTCATCATGAATCTTCCTGAAGGCAAAGAGGATCCGAGTCTTGATTTATTGACTGGTGCAGAGTCAGTAAGAACAGGGGGCGTCTTGTTTATCTTCATATCCATCAAACTTCAATAAAATGCTTCACACAAGAAATTCGATGGCTCTTCTAAAACACTTTTTTCTCTTTTATCCAACTCTTTTGTCAATGAAAAACCACTTTTTCAATGTTTTCTTGTCACTGCTTGTTGGTAAACAGTCCATTAAAAGGAGGTTTGCTGAGCACTGAAATTGACCACAAAGCCCAATACTTAGAAAACTGAAAGCTAATTGTAAGAATATCAAAACCAGAAAGCTATACTCTTTACAATACCTTATCATCTCTCAATCTTCAAATACTCTCAGACAGATCTTGAGCTTTAAACACAAACCTGTACAAACAAAAAATCGAGTAAATCATACTGAGAAATTATATTTCTTGGATCAACGATAAACGTAACAAGACAATGTAAAATCGTAGACGTTACTTCTTTTGGGTGATTCATTACAGAGGAGGATCAATAAAAAAAGAGCTTTTGCATGTTCTTTAACGCAGTAAAGGCAGAACATCATAAAGTCAACACGCAAGTTATGTTTTTTGATCTCTTCCTATTTGTTTTTACCTAATCGTCTTAATTGTTGTTTAATGATACTAGAGAAAAGGAGCCACTGATTTTGACAAGTACCGAAATTTTCAACTGCCTTTCTATATGACAAGCAACTAATATTAATAAGGCTACCGACAAAAAAACTTATAGCTTCATCACTCAAATTGTTCCAAACATGTCAGATTAGTCTCTAATTTCAATTTTCCTATTAAAAGATAGATAAATAAATATATTCACTGAAACACAACAGAATTTGGGCTATTTACATCGAACTCTAAAACAAAATTTTGCAGAAATTAATGTTGTTAGGTAGTCTCTAAAGAACAGAGCTCAATTCAAACACAGAGTGGGCAATATTCAATGGAGACAACGAAAAAGACAAAATTTATCAATCAACGAAAACTGAAACGGATAAAAAAACGCAGGAGATCCAGAAATCTCGATAAGAAAGACGTAAATCAGAAAAAATCTCAACAACAAACCTAAACCTGGATCGAAGCAAAAAGACTGTAAAAACCAAACGCTATACAAAACAATTCAGGAATCAGAGTGGGGACAAAAACAAAAGAGTCGATTTTTAGATTTCAAACCTGACTCAAAAGCTGTATACACTGAGCAGGCAGGGGAAAAAAAAATCTCGTAGAGTAATGTTGATTTTCTCCTTTCGGAAACAGAATCTTAGGGATTGAGAAAGGAGATTTGGGATTTTTTTCTTATGGAAAACCCTAAAAACTGAAAGAGGATACGAAAAATGCGGAAATTTAGGAGGAAACGAAGGAGAGGAAGGGAGAAAATGAAGGAGATGGGCTTTCGTATTTATAGAGTCCGTTTCTCTCAAAAAAAAAAATGTTTTTGTCTCTCAAAGAGACAGAGAGAGAGAGAGAGAGAGACGTGGTTAACAAGGATATTAAGCTGTTCTTAAATATCGAAAACACCGCCTCTGTTTGACTTATTTACCTGTTTGCCATCGCCTCGTTTAATTTTGTCCTTAATTATTATTCTTTTGGACGACCAAGACCACGTTAATTTTCTTATTAGCTTCCCTAAATAAAATTAAAGACTATATTATTCATGAGTTTCGTCATTAGTCAGATTCGTTTGTTTTCTACATTCAACAAATTTTTTTGGGGGTGGAATCTTTGATGTATTCAATGCTCAAAATTGTTTTGCAAGTCATTTACGTTTCATATGATGGTATATTCCATTATTTATAGAATAGTTTTTTTAATTGACCAAACGAATTAGGTCGTTAATTTATGTAATAAAGATCATGAAGCAGCCGTCTTAGCTACCATATATAACTTTTCTAAATTGCTCATTTCCTGTAAAACATTTCGAAAAAGAGCTAAAAAAAGAAAAGAATAACATTAAATTAACAAACCGTGTTGACTAAATAGTTACTGCAATAAATATAAATCGAGACCCAAAACAAAACATAATAAATTCACAAACCGTAAGGCGGACGTTAGTTTTTGTTAGTTTGTTTGTTACCTAAAAACGAGCTGGTTCGTGAACGGACACGTGGATACGAGTCAAGAGAGTTGAAAAAAGAGTTGGCGCCACGTGTTAAATTTGAAATGGTGACGTAACCACGTGTTAGTTGGGCCTTAATGGGCCCAAACAAAAGGAACTGGCTTTTTCTAGTTCTGCTGTCTTTTTCCAGGACATTATCTGATTATATCATTGCCTTTGTTTACAACGTTGGCCAATTATTTAGACATTCAACCAAATTCAGATTGACACATACCCAACACATTTTTCTATTATCTACTGAAAATGTATCAGATTCTGATCAAGTATGATGAAAAATGAATGATAGAATGACGAGGATGCTGAGGTTAAATATGTGTAAAGTTGTTGAGGATAAATTGGGTTTATTAAAAGTTAACGATGATTACTTAACGGTGTTAGCTGATGGAGAGTTAAAATCACGGGACCCATAATTACTCATAATTAAATGACCAATAGAAGTTTGAGTTGTAAAGTGGGTCCTTAAACTGAATAAACGGCTGGGATTTGTTGTCACTTTATCGGTGGTGGAGCTAACAGAAAAAAATATTTCAATATAATCAATTTGGAAATCTATAAAATAATGGTGTTGGAGAACTATTTTGACCGAGCTCAATTGCAATTTCTCGATTAAAAAAAGTAACACTGCTAAATTTTGTTTTATCTTGTAACAAGCTTTAGAAGGTTCGCCACGTGTATCCTGCGATGCACCTATGACGATTGACGAGTCACAACTATACGCTGACGCCATGATGACAACTAAATAATGACAAAATCTTGAATTTAATTTGACAAGGAAATATACAAATATCGGGTTTTTTTTTGTTTCGATGTTACAAGGAAGAACATTTCAGTCTTTGACAGATCGATGAATCGCATTCGCGTACCTTCTCGAGTCTCCATTTATAGACAATTTTTTTGTGTTAGATAAATATTTGAATGAAGCAAATTTAATGTTCTGAGAAGATATATGAGAGAGGCTCAGTTTATATGTACGAATGATATATATTTTTCTAAGAAATATCGAAAGTTACGTGCGAGTGCATAATACATACACTACAACGAGAACATGTAATATGTTCTGTCATGCAATCTCTCTAAACTATACATTCAATTAGTGTTTTTACTATATTTTCAAGATTCAATGTATATGAATATTGTAGCGCCGTATACATACATATTAATTTGTTAAAATTGACAAGCTTTTGTGTGGATAGTGTTTTGATTTATTGAAAATAAATTTTATTAGCAACTTTTGAAATCGATTGTTTGGATTTAATGAAGATGACCAAGGAATAATTAGTCTGGCCAAAATCTTTAGTCGGTGTTTGATTTTTTAAGCTAGTTGTAATATCGACGTCTAAATATTCGTATCGATTTTTTTGTTTTTGTAAAAAGTATAAACTATAATTTATTTTCCTCCATGTAAGTTTGTGATGGAATTTGATTAATATATGGAATTTTGTTATTTTCAAAAATATATATTAATAAGATCCTCTTACTCCTTTGTTCTTCCGACATTGCAATGTAAACCGAATCACAGTCACTTTTCTTCTCTCTTTTAGTTTCTGGAAATTATTGTTATTATTATTATAATACAGATAAAACAGCCTGTAGTAACCTTTTTTCTTTGTTGGTATTGCTGGTACAGTCGTACTTGGTTTGGCAAAATATAAAAGAAAATGTTGATTCAATAATGAAAAACATCATGTGTGCCGACCACTCCTATAAGCTAATTTGTCAATCTCCACATGTCCACAAAATGATAAATGATAAGACAATATTACATATGATAATTAACATATAAGTCATCTGCATATGTGTTTCCACGTATCCTCACGACTACATATACAGTATACATGGTATATGTCCCAATGTAATTACATTCACTATGATATATATATATATATATATCTTGCATTACAGGATTATAAAAATACATAGTTTGTATATCTTATTTCTCGCAGATGACTTATATGTATTATGATTTCGTAACAACATACAGTTAAGAATTTGTATTATTAATTTGCTTATTGTATTATGAATTTGTAACCGCATAGTTAGTATAATCTACAAATTTGTGTATAAAATGTTATCATGAACTTGTAACCACATATATAGGATATTAAAAACAGTTAGCAAAATTAATTCGATTGTATATATGACCATGAACTTTGATTAATAACAAGATCCTATATTCACGAATTAGGATCCACTTGTACTAGTTTATCGATAGAAACAACTCATAATACTTTGCTCAAAGAAAGAAAGAAACAACTAGCTCATAATACATATTACACATGCTACGTGACTTTTTTATTGAGTTTTTTTTTCTTCTTTATTTTAAGTCTCTAATTAAAAATCCTTCATCATCAGTCCACCGAATTTAAATCGTACTACATCATGTGAACAACATTTTTGAAATTTAAAAACAATGTAAAAAAACATCATTTTGAATATTATATTGGATTTAACCAGCTAACAATAGAGGAAGCATGTTGCTCGTTTAAGAAATGGGAAGAAGTGATAAGCACTAATAGATTCAACAAATCATCGAGAATAAGTCGTGTTTCTTATAATATATGACCAGTTTAGCCAGGCCATGTTTATATTACTATATAATGCATGAGCATTTGATAATTTCTTTCTTCTTTGTATTAGGCATTTAATCATTTGATAATTTCAAAACGGTTGAAAGCTCTCTATCACTCTATATATAACATCCAATTAATTAACACCCTCGTTTAGTCTTAGGGAGAGACTATTTGGTTGGTCGACGCCGACGTTATTATCAAAATCTTTATGTTTATTAAAATATAATTTTTGAAGATTTTGCCCGCATTTTTAGCGTTTGAAACCATGTAAACGTCAAATTAGCTCAGGATAATCAAACTGTTTGAATGAGTGCTTAAAATAAACAAAAACAAACCTAACTCTAGCAAGTTTTATTGTACGACACGTTTAAGATGAATAATTCAAATCGACTTCAAACTATGATTTTTATTTTGACTCTTGATTGTTTTCTAATACATTTAAAGTTCTCTCACTCTGCCTACTTTGCCTATCTACATTATTTGGCTAAACTATTAATTAGTAGTATTGGACAGAGAGTTTCAAAAAAAAAAAGAGGACATATAAAGTTAGATACAAGTCTATAGAGTTCTAGGCCTACGGGCTTGATAATGTTTCTCAGCTCTGCCATTTATGGGCCCATTGACGCATCTACAATTAGATTCCAAAATTTGGTTTAACCATATTCATTCAAATGGAAGGAAAACCAAACAAAAAGAGTCTTTGAGCAATATAATTCCAATTCTAAGAAGCAACTCTGAACCTAACGAGTTTATTTTTTTTAAATTTAATGTATAGGCCTAGCTAAAAAAAGTTACACTACATTTCTCTGAAAAAAGTGAAAAAAACAAAAACCAGGCCATATTATTTATACAAATCACAACCTTTACAACCTTAACCGGATGATAACCAGCTTTGAACGTCTCTAACAAAATGTAATCTGTAACATAACCGGGCAAAATCCAAAAAGAAAATTGACATTTTAGCCAGAAAAATCACTCTGTTTCTCCATGACTGAATCAAGAGAAATTCTTCAACTTTTCAACAACACTAATCAAATCCCTAACCTAAGGAATCAATCTCGAGTCAATTGGGCAGTGCATGTGTGCAACGACCTCGAAATCTTGAAGAAGAAGCTGATCTTTAAACCCAACAAGAAACTGGCACAAACCTTCAAGAAACAGAGCACCCTGATGCTCGCTCGTAGCTCCAACAATGTCCATGATCACACTCTTCCTCAACCTATTCGCATCAACAAAGATACTCACAAGCTCCTCCATCTCCACCTTCGCCGCCTCATCCACCGACGCCGCCGAAACCGGAACCGCCGTAACCGTCTTCTTCTTCTTTCCCGCCTGGTACGACGAGACCCAATTCTCCGAGACACGAGACACGAAGCTTCTCTGAGCTTTCCTCATACGATCCATCAGAACAGGGACCATAAGCCTCATCGTACACTCGATCTGATCAATCCTCGTCACCAGCTCGTCCGACGGGTCTTTCCACGCGGTGGCGATCTTCAACGGTTGATCTTGAATCAGGCGGAGAGAATTTTCGTCGTCGTCGGAATCTTGATTCTCTCGATCGATGAAAGAGCGGAGGAGGTTAGTGAGGAGGTAAGGATGGATATCGCCGAGGAAGAGGAAAGGAGTCTCGAGGGAGTTGCGCCAGGAAGGGAAGAGGAGGTAAGGGACGGTGTTGGGATCGGCGGCGAGATCTAGGGTTTCGTAGTAGAGAACTAAGTGGCGGAGGACGTGGTCTACGTTGGAGGAGAGGACGGAGGCGGAAGCGGCGGAGGAGAGGGATTGACGGAGGAGAGGGAGGCAGTTCTCGGTTAGGGTTTTGGACCAGTCGGCGTAGAATTCGTTGAACCGGCGAGTGGGTTTCTTGCGGGAGAAGAGAGAGAAAGGCATTTTTTTCTTTCTTTGGAGAGCAGAGAGAGAGACAACAATGGAGGATTTGTTTCTGAAGATTTTCTTTGAGGGTTTTTATTATAAAAGGTCGCTCTGTTTTTGGAGGGAAAGGCGATGTAAATGATTCCGTTTAATTGGAAACTTAACTGATTCTCACAAACATTTTAGAGAGCGTTGAAGCGTTTACGCGCGATACTAAAACGACGCCGTAAACATGGAAAAGCTTTAAAAAGAGTACTGTATATGGTTTTTTTTTCATTCACAAGAATACCTAATTTTGAGCTAATATTTTTTTCACTTCTCCTCTTTCTTCTTGTTCATACTTTTTTGTGACCTATCAGATCGTCTTTTTGTTCAGAAGATAAGAAGGCACGCACATGAAAAGCCCACCAAACAAGTAAACAAACCCATGTTTATAAAGCCCATTTTTATTTTGTCAATGTAATTAAGGTTCCTAACCAGATAGATATATAAATGAGTGTAATAAACATCAAGATAGAGAAGGTAACCTAGAGAAGATAGAAGCCCACCAAACTCTCTCTCTCTCTGTCTCATCTTTTTATGATATAATCGAAATATTTTTAGCTCTTAGTTTCTTTGGATTGAAACTCTCATATCATGTTGGAAGATTCAAAATAAGAATAGATTGATTAAGCTCAAATGAGCTTTATTGTGATAGAAAATCTTTCCTGATAAATGATAAAGAAAAATGATAAGTTGTTCATTTCCTGAAATCAAGTTAATTGATAGTTCGATGATACTACATTACTTTGAAGGATCATTAAACTAAATTATATGACATAAACGAATCTTATCATACCAATAGTAATTGATGAATGATGTATAATTATTAATTATCAGTTAACTAGTTTGGTGTTGGATTGTAGCGATTATAAAATTCAATTCAGAATATGTCAAAAGGATAAGGAACATGGTTATAGATTTAGCAGCAAAACAATAAGATCCGTGATTGGTGGATTAACAACTAGTTAAGAAAATTTGGAAAATCTCATCTCATCTCAATTTTCATTTGATCATATTGTCTTCTTGTCCCCAAACATATCTGACGTTTTACTAACCTTAGTCTTTCGCTTTTGGTATTTTTTTTTTGTCTTGTACATATCGTTTAATAGTTACAGTGCTGATTGCCACATTATATCTATATGTTCATCACAGTTTCTTGAAAAATGTCTTCTTATATCGTAGAATCAAAATTCTAATTAATGATATATTTTAGAATTTTAACACAAACATAAAAAAGTAACATGTAACAATTTCTCATAATTTGTTCATAGGAAGTGTTGTTTGCGATCCAGCAAATTTTAATCAAGTATACTCTCCCGACTCCCAAGCTAACGACATAAACTGTAAGCAAAAAATACATAATTATTTGAACACCTATAAACGACTGTCTTTTCATGTTTAGACATATAATTTAAAATATACTCCCTCTGTTCAGAATTATTTGATGTTTAAGGTTTTTGCACACAGTTTAAAGATTTATTTAATTTTTATTTTTCCTATACTAAAAATATTATTTATAATTCATTTAAATATCATTCAGCCAATAAGAAAACAATCTGCAGAATATAAAAGGTCAAAAACTATAAAAATTCATTAAATTTTGCATTGAAAAGTGAAAACATCAAATAATTCTGAACAAAAAAAACCTTCTAAAACATCAAATAATTCTGAATAGAGGGAGTATTACAAAGCATTTAACATAAATAAATGTTAAAGCGATCGTAGTTTGGTTTCCATTTGAAATTTAATCTACTTACATAGTAGTTACATCAGAAAAACAATTGAATCTTGGATAATACATCAAATTGTTATATCAAAACTTATTTCGTGCAATGGTCCCCAACTCCCCCATTTAAAATCATATATTTAAATTCGTCGTTATTTCAATCTTTACTCGGTCGGCTCGGGAGGATTCATGTGGTCTATTTAGTAGTATTAAGTTATTTACACAACTAATTATTTACAAATAATTAAGTCATGTTGTATTAGGAAATACAATGGGATATTCTCATACAATCTAGAGTATCTTAGATTTCCTTATTTGCACTTATCTATTCTTGGAGACCAAGCTAAATCACTGGCTATATAATGTACTCGAGATCATTGAAATCAATAACACAATACAATTCAGAGCAATTCATAATCTTTTCATGGTATCAGAGCCTCCCTTTGGCCTGTAACCTAGCTCTCGAAAAAAAAAAAAAACCCTAAACACAAATTTTTTTCCGAATTGTCACCAATGACCGGCGACGATACGACTCGGCAGCTTGCAGAGCCTTCAGCCTCTACCGGCGAAACTCCCCTCATCTCCCCGTACTACCTTAACACCACTGATAGTACTGGGCATGTGCAAACACCGATCCTTTTGGACGGTGCTAATTACGAAAGATGGTCCAAGCTCTTCATCAATGCTATGCGCACCAAACGCAAGATGGGTTTTCTCGACGGAACCCTAACACGACCGTCCTCCGGCGACGACGCTGAACGATGGGACATGGTTAACTCCATGATCATCGGTTGGCTTTATGCGAGCATGGAGCCCAAGCTTCGCTCGTCGATCTCCTTGGTTAATGATGCCTCGGTTATGTGGACAGGCATCAAGACTCGATACTCTAGCAGCGACGGAACCAAAGAACATCAGCTGCACTCTGATCTTTCGGCGTGTAAACAAGATGGAGATACCGTAGAAGATTACTTTGCGCGTCTCAAAATAATTTGGGATACCCTTGCTGATGTTAACAAAGGTTTCTCTTGCTGTTGCGGTCAGTCGAACTGCAAATCGATGCAGACGTATCAACAAAAACAAGACCAGCTTCAAATTCATCAATTTCTCATGGGACTCTCCACACAGAAGTTTGGAACTACTCGATCAAATCTCCTGACAAGGATCCACGAGTTGACTCTTGATAGTGCCTATTCCCAAATCATACAAGAAGAACGACACATCAACTCTACTGCTGTACAAGAGAAGATCGGTACCATTGGTTTCTCTGCAACTTCCGCCGCTGCCGCTGTATCTAAACAATCTCTTGTCTGCTCTCATTGTGGACGTGTCGGGCATGAGAAAAGTCAATGCTTCAAAATCATTGGCTATCCGGAGTGGTACGAACAAACGCCTGCGACTTCTACAACTTCAGGATGAGGATCGAGCTCCCGCGGTGGACGTGGATCTTCTCGAGGCCGTGGAACTCGTGGAGGTCGCGGTTTGTCGCATCAGGCAAACACTGCAGCCGCTCCTCGAGGAAACAAAAGTGATGAAGCTGGTGGTGGAATTCCAGACCTCACCTCAGCACAGTGGAGTTCTTTGGTAGAATTTCTTGAAAGTCGAAAATCAAGCTCGTCCGATAAGCTCACTGGTAAAACTAAACGACTGATTTTATATGGTGTTCAAAGTCGTTTTGATTTGATAATAGATTCTGGAGCATCTCATCATATGACCGGAGACATCAATCTTCTCACACACCTGCAGAGGATTGAACCGTGTCCGATCCAGCTCCCTAACGGCAACGTTACTTGGGCTACACGTCATGGAACTTTGTCGTTAGGAGGAAAACTTATATTTTACCATGTTTTCTATGCTCCCGATTTGTCTCTTACCCTGATTTCAGTTGCTCAACTGTTACAAGATATTGCCAGTGCAGTGATTTTTACTAAGCGATTTTGTGTGATACAGGACCAAGCTTCGAGGACTTTGATTGGTGCGGGTGAAGCGCGTGATGGGGTTTATCATCTTGCGGGTTCTATTCTACCTCAGGCAAATCAGATTCAGAAACTTGACACACGAGATCTTTGGCATCGCAGGATGGGACATCCCTCACAGAAGATTTTATCTCTACTTTCAGATGTTGGTGTTTTCAAAACTAGTATTGGTGTTTTAGAAGAATGTTGTGATATTTGTTTCCGAGCAAAACAAACGCGTGTTCCATTTTCAGATAGTATGAATAAAGCAGACGATTTATTCTCTTTGATTCATTGCGATGTTTGGGGCCCTTATCGAACCAAATCGACTTGTGGCTCAACCTATTTTCTCACCATCGTCGATGACTATTCCTGTGGTCTATGGACACATCTGTTGACAGAAAAATCATCGGTGTCTATCATTCTTAAGAATTTTTTTGCCTGGATTCTTCGTCAATTTGGAAAGACGGTCAAGACTATACGCACAGACAACGGAACAGAGTTTAGTTGCATGAGAGGATATTTCGCAGAACATGGTATCACACACCAAACATCATGTGTCGATACTCCTCAGCAAAATGGTCGCGCAGAGAGGAAACATTGTCATATTCTCAATGTAGCTCGTGCTTTGTTATTCCAAGCACAACTTCCGACACGATTTTGGGGTGAAAGTGTCCAAGCTGCTACTTATCTAATCAACTGCACACCCTCCGCTGTTCTTCACGGTAAAACACCGTATGAACTCCTCTATGGCAAACCTCCTTCTTATGATGAGATCAGAACTTTTGGATGCATATGCTATGTTCGCACAGTTCGTCGATCTAATGACAAGTTTGACGACCGTAGTGTACGATGCATATTTCTCGGATACCCTTTTGGAAAAAAGGGCTGGTTGGTATTTGATCTCCATACCGAAAAACAGTTTGTGTCCCGCGACATCATATTTCATGAAGACATATTCCCATATCCAGATCATTGTTCTTTGACCAGTGGTGCCCCTCGACAGGGGGAGTTCATTTCACCTCCTCCTCTCCTCGAACCCTCCTTACCGGTTATTTCCTCTGCTCCGTCTGATCCAGTATCACCACTTACTGGTGATAACAACATCGAATCTCCAGCCATTTTGGAACCTGTCGACGCCGCGCAACCTGATGATACTAGTGTAAGCCACTCAGACGAACCATTGGGTCGTGGTCACCGCAAGAAAACAAGATCTGTTCTTCTCAAGGATTGTGTCACTTATTCAGCGACTACCTCTGATAAACCCTGTCACGACTCCACCACAATATCCACCGATCATAAGTCCTCAAGTAAGTGTCCCTATCCGCTTATTAATTTTGTTACTCTTGACAAGTTCTCTTCTTCGCAGCAAATGTTTCTCTCAGCCGTAAGCACCTATACCGAACCAAAGTCTTTTCAAGAAGCGATGAAACATGAGCATTGGAGATTGGCTTCCAAAGATGAGGTTCATGCTTTGGAACTAAATGAAACTTGGGATGTTGTAGATTTGCCACCAAATAAGCACGCCATTGGTTGCAAATGGGTGTTTAAAATTAAACTCAAATCGGATGGCACTTTAGAGAGGTATAAAGCCCGTCTGGTAGTTCTGGGAAATCGACAGGAAGCAGGGACTGATTACGGTGAAACGTTCGCTCCCGTCGTTAAAATGACGACTCTGCGAGTCTTTCTCAAAGTCGCGGCCGCTAGAAACTGGGAAGTATTTCAGATGGACGTTCACAACGCGTTCTTGCATGGGGATCTTGACGAGGAAGTTTATATGAAACTTCCACCTGGTTTTTCTTCCGCAGACAAGAACAAAGTCTATAAACTCAAGAAATTGCTTTATGGTCTTAAACAGGCTCCGAGATGTTGGTTCGCTAAGCTATCCGCATCACTATTAAAATTTGGTTTCGAGCAGAATAAGAAAGATTACTCACTTTTCTATTACACTCGAGGATCTTCTTGCATTTACGTTCTCGTATACGTAGACGATCTGGTTATTGGTGGGAATGACTCGACTCTTATATCTAAGTTTAAAGCCTACATGAGTCAATGTTTTCACATGAAAGATTTAGGAGTTTTAAAATACTTCCTTGGACTAGAGATTTCTCGCGGCAAAGATGGTATCTATGTTTCTCAACGTAAGTACGCTCTCGACATTGTTACAGAGTGTGGTATGTCCGGTTCTCGACCTTATGATACACCAGTCGAACAGAACCATAAACTTGCGACAGATGAAGGTTCTTATTTTTGCAATCCCTCGCGATATCAGAGACTTGTAGGTCGCCTTGTCTATTTGAGTATCTCTCGCCCTGATTTGAGTTACGCTGTTCATCTCCTTGCTCAGTTCATGGTCAAACCACGACAGAAGCATTGGGACGCAGCATTGCGAGTGGTTCGCTACCTTAAAGGTACCGCTGGACAGGGCATTCTCCTCAGCTCGAAACCAGACCTTCATGTTTCCGCTTATTGTGACTCTGATTGGTCAGCTTGTCCGCTAACTCGGCGTTCTCTTAGCGGTTATGTCGTCATGCTTGGTGATTCTCCGGTGTCTTGGAAAACAAAGAAACAGAACACAGTGTCTAGGTCGTCTGCCGAAGCTGAATATCGCTCCATGTCCTTTACTCATTCTGAGATTCAATGGCTACTGCAACTCCTTCCTGTGTTCGACATCAAGCATCCAGAACCAGTGTCTTTCTTTTGTGATAACCAATCTGCTCTCAAGATCCTCAAGAACCCGGTATATCACGAACGTACAAAACATATCAAAAATGATTGTCATATCATTCGCGACGCCTTCCAAGACGGCTCGTTGCAGCCATTCTTCGTCAGGACTAATGAACAGCTTGCTGATTCTTTCACCAAGGCTCTTGGCAGAGTTCAGTTCCGCTATTTACTTCGCAAGATGGGAGTTCGAGATCTACACTCACCATCTTGAGGGGGAGTATTAGGAAATACAATGGAATAAGTATCTTAGATTTCCTTATTTGCACTTATCTATTCTTGGAGACCAAGTTAAATCACTGGCTATATAATGTACTCGAGATCATTGAAATCAATAACTCAATACAATTCAGAGCAATTCATAATCTTTTCATGTTGTCTTTGTGAACTCGACGCTATCAACAAAAGTTGCATCTTGAGTTATTGAAGACATAAAATTATTACATATCATGTGAGGATTTTAGGACCTGGTTACCTAGATATTTCTCCTGGATTATTTGCTTATATCTCAAGATCTTTATTCCGTTTTTGGTGGATAAAAAGCTAATTATGATTATTTATGTATTTTATTTTCACATATCGATACTGCATCAGATTATTTGAATAAGACTGGTAGGCTACATAACTTACATTAGAATTAACGATATCGAAACCATATACAGATGTAAACTTCTTACAATAGTCATTAAGCTTACGATAAGACTGCAAGATTAATCGCATGCATTATAGGTCGTAATTTAAGTGGTTTCAACTTTAAACGTGATGTAACAACTCAGCTATGATTTATCCAATAGAAGAAGTAAATAAAAACCACCGTATCCACGTTAGCTACATGTCTCTATATATTTTACAAAAATGGATTTGGAGATTCGAAGTTAAAGGGAACAAAAATGACAAGATAAGAAGAACATATGCATCACGGATGTATTGTACCGAATGTTTTAAAATTAGGTACACAGAAGTACATAAATTTGTTCCTTTCTATCCTTCCCTTGGATAAAGCCTCCCAATTTCTTTCTTTTCAGTTTCATATTTTTCTTACCAAACAACTTTTTTTCATCAAAGTAATACATTGGATTTTTACATTATGGTAATGAATATAATATGTTTAACCACCTTTTATCCAGAAATAGGTCTAATATATGATCTACAACTTTTATTAAAACTTGCTGAACAAATCTTACAATCTTTAAGAGTTGAAAACTGACCATTACCCATTGGATAAAGATAGATCCAGAAAACAATACTGAAAAGTGATGTGTGTAAAGTTTACTAACAAATTTGTAAAGGTAATTCTCTAAATGTACGTAGTTTGTTTTTTTATGACAACCAACCAACTTTTAATCTTTTGTAAAAGATTTTTAATAAACAGTTTTATTTTTCTTGTTTTTTGGTTTTATATTTTTTTCTTGTTTGTAACCGAGATCATAGATCATAGTCGAGATAATCCGAATACTATAGATTGTTGGATATTCTTGTCATTCATTCATTTGATACATATATCCATATTCTACAATGACCAACCATAACTAAATTTACAATGGACCACCATAAACTGGTTTAATAATTTTGCTCAATTATTTGGTTATATAGATCAGTATCGAATTATCTATTGATTACTATCAGATATAGAGAAGTAACCAATTAAAAAGTGTGTAACTAGTCAGAATTTCGGTACAAGAAATCTCAGTCTGGTTGAAGTGGTTACACAAAACATGTCTCTTTCATATAATATTTTAAAAGCATAATGCAATATTATGACTCTGAAGATAAAAAGAAAGAGAGCACTTTCTGTGAACCGGAGCATGTTACGCAGATCACACGCGCCGTGCCGACTGCCGACCAAATCCTCACTCCATGTCTCTCCTACACACATGCTTGGCTTTTGTCTTCTAATTCATCCTCCATTTGTTTTTTTTTATAAATTAACTTTTCATAATTTATATATATATTTTTTACTTAGAAATAATAAAAATATCTGTAGATGGTTTTTGTTTGATCTCCATATCCGGGCTATATCTTTAAACATGGCCGTTTTATTATCCTTTGTTTTTTAAATGTATAGATCGAGTTTTCTTACCAACACCAAATTTGGACTAAGACTTAATTAGTCCATATACATAGACTGATAGACACACCCATATGTGCATGTACACTAAATGACATATTAAGCACATAAATTATTAAATGAGTATTATAACAATTTGCTGAAATCGGATTCTCTAGATGCAATTGCAACAACAAACATGTTTTTACTCACTTGCGTAAGCCTAAATTTTGACTAACTAGTGTTTAATCATGGTGTTTTTATATTTTAATATTTTTCCGGTACCATGGTGTAACATATAACAGTTTTTTGAACAAAAAAAGAACATATAAAACAGGTCATCACTTTCAATATTAACCAAACAAAAAGTACTTACGATATTTTTGACTTTTCAAGTTAATTCAGAAGAGTAAAAAAATTATGTAATCCAAAACATATGCATATATAGAATCACTGACACCATGCTGATGCATTCTAAGGTTTATATTCAACAAACTTGTGACAAAAGAAACAACAACGAAAGTTTTTGGTCTATACTTGAGTTGCATATTACCGTACAATAGTTGAGATTGACTTTGAATAGGCTTTGCATATTAATTGAGATTGGCCTTGGACTTTTCACTAATGATTGACACCATACGAAAAGGTCTGGTCACCAAAACCATAAGCTTAACCGGTGATTATTATGCTACTTGAGTGCTAACCAGCACCGGTTTCTAATAAATAATCGTTTCGGAACCTCTTCCTTGTGTTTTTGTTTTCCAACGTCGTAATGTCACTTATTTGTTCTCACATTATAATAAAATCGTGAATATCATGTAGTTTTCTTATTCAACCATTTGACAAAGTATTCTTGAATTATAAGAGTTTGGTCTTAACTGAAAGTAGCCTCGTGCATAAACAGCAAATGAAAATGGACAATCGTAATTTTCTCGTGATACGAGGAATTTTTTTTTTTCGAAAAGTAAAATCCAATGTTCCTTAGATGACATTCGTTACAACTTACAATGAATAAAATCTTTCTATAATTGACAATGATCTAAAAGTCATAAAAATGAAAAATATTCACTTAAAAAAAAAACAGATTTTATATTAATGACTTTTAGTTACATGTTAAATTTGGAAAACAATACATCAAATATGCACATCAGCACATGTATACACGCACGCACACATAAATTACCCGTTCAACAGTCACGCCTCAGAGGCTATAAAAAGAAGTTGCTTTGCTCTATTTTCCATAATCAATTCAGTCTTCTTTTTCATCTTGAACTGTAACACAAAACAGAGAGAGAGAGACAGATAGCAAATCAAAGTTTCGATATTTTCAATCTAATCGTCGTCTCCACTTTGAACCCATTTCGGAAAACGCAGTTTTAGTCGTAATTTATCCAAAAGGTTTCATTTTGTTTTCTGGGTCTCTGTTTTCTCGGAATCTGAACAACCATGAAGAGGCTAAGAGGTTTCAAGATCGGTCACAGATTCGTCAAGATCTTCAAATGGATACTCCGAAGTAGAAGAATCCAAACCGGGAAACGACAATGCCTGACCGGGATTCTCAACCCGGTTCCAAAAATCTGCTCTTTAGCACGGTGTCTCCGTCGTGGAGCCAATAGACTGTGCGGAGGAAAGAAAACGGGTCAGACCCGGCTAGGTAACGACCCGAAACCGCCGGCTGTTCCTAAGGGACATTTGGTGGTTCACGTCGGAGAATCCGGCGACGATACGCGGCGCGTGGTGGTTCCGGTGATTTACTTTAACCATCCTCTGTTCGGAGAGTTGCTGGAGCAGGCGGAGCGGGTTTACGGGTTTGATCAACCGGGTCGGATTACGATACCTTGTCGTGTTTCGGATTTTGAGAAGGTTCAGATGAGGATCGCCGCATGGGATCATTGCCGACGGAAGCGGACTTTCAAGATTCTCTAATTTTGTTGCTTGCAATAAAAAGGAGAAAAATTTATATATTTTTTTTCCATTATACCTGAGAAAAAGAGAGTCAAATGTCAAGTAGAAGAAAGATGTAGACTTTCCTCCACTTTGTGTAAATACGGTTTAAACTTTATAGGTTATATACAGATTACAAATACATGTATACGGATTTGTAATGAAACTATAATAAGTTCATAAATTTTATTACGGATACATTATATTCTGGATACAGTGTAGAGCTATGTCTTTGTTGTTTTATTTGTTATTACACAAAAGGGATTTGTATGGTATCCATCACGTATCAAATTCAAATATCTCTTACCAACATGAGTAGGTCAAGATTTCTTTTGTATCATGGGGACATGGGGTTTGTTGTGATATTACATGTAGCAAACTAAACCAAGTCCAGGATAAAAATGAAAGATCGTTGTCCCGGAATTTCAATAGGTAGAAAACTTATGGATGTTGTTGTCGTTGTTTTTAAGTGGTAATTATCAATTATAAGCTAAACAAGGGGGTTCATGGTGATTTGGTAATTAGTCCATTGTTCACTTCAACAGATGTACAACTATTAGGGGAAAAAATTGTGGTTCAGATATAAATTATTTACATATTTAGTAGATTGAAAAGAAAACAAAATACGATTTAACAATAAGTCTTAATAAAGTTGTAGCTCTCTAAGTTTATTTCAATCAAAGATTTTAGACGGAATAACAATTGATCGACCTCAAATAAGATACAAGTTAGTTATTCTTTAATTTGTCATAATTCGACTGGTAGACATTTAGCTGGGGTAGCTCAGTTGGTTAGAGCGTGTAGCTGTTAGCCACAAGGTCGGAGGTTCGACCTCTCCCTCTAGCGAAGAAATTTTTGTTCATATAATTCACCTTTTTTTCACGCGTATAAACCAAAGAGAACAGAATCCAACAAAGACCACTCATGATCCTGAATCCAAACAAACATTCCCTTATAGTATGTAAGAATGACGACTTTGACAAGATTATATCATAGAGATCATCATTTTGAGTATTTACTTGAAGGAATGGAATTATTGCTGTCCAGTTTTGCCTAGCACTGTGATCTAAACCACTTGATTGATTGCTTGTTGGATTGCTAAAATAAGGATTGGCACTCAATATCTTTGATCATAAGCTCATTAGTTCATCTGACTCTTTCTTGCACCTATCTTCGTCTTTTTTTTTAGGTTGGCTGATATCGTTTTTAGTCGATTTAATACAAAAGTGTTTTCCCTGCCATTGAAACCTTCAGAGAGCTTGTACAGACCAATATGTGTAACCCAAGGACCAAGCAACTTTGAAGAAATTGAATGATTCCGAGAAAGGCAAGAATGAGACTGAAACAACAAGACTATCTTAAGAAAGCACTCTTTACAAAAAAAAAGAAGAAAAGAAAACAAGACTATCTTTGATCAATTCGCTTGTATGGTTTTATCTAGCTAGTGCAAGCAAAACCGTGCCTACTCTTTTCTAAAAGAGGCAATGATCACAGAAAAAAAAAAAAAATTTATTTAAAAAACTTGTGAAAATTTCTAAACCTTGTAAACAATTAAAAACAAAAAACTTTCAAGTTTTGATAACTTCAATGTAATGAACAGTATCCATAAACAACTTTTTATCCGTGAAAAGGTTTATGTCAACACAAGGATATTTACATAAAAAAATATAAAATTAAAAGTTGAGCAAATGAGCATAGTAATTTTTTAATAGTTAGTTGGCAAATTGCCCACTTTTTAATGACTTATACAGGCCATTCTGAGTTAATTTTGTTTTTATAGAAAGTTATGTTTTCTTTATATATATATATATATTCTCAGAATAAATGAACAAATTCAATGTCAACGGGTATAGGTTTAAGAAAGTCGTAGAGAATTGGTCAACAATGTAAAGCAAAAATAGTATAACTATGAAGTATTTTCGATTAGTTATATGAATAATGTACATTCTAAGACTCTATATATGACAGTAATGTACTTTTGAAGAAGTCACATTCGTTAAATCAGGAAAGCGAGCTAATAATAGTCATTCAAAATAAACACAAATTTTTAAACCTTTTGTCTCTGCCGGCTTTAGATACAAACGATCATTCATCATGGCTTACACTAACAAAGTTCCGGCAGCATCTGCGGTTGCAACAGTGGTCCTGTTTCTAGCGGTTATGATCGCTCCCCGGTGGACAGAGGCACAAACGATGCCAAAACTGGATCCAGTGTGTGCGGTGGTGATCTCTGACATAGTCAAAATTTGCTACTTATCGGGGGATTTAAAGCCATCCGAAGAATGCTGCAAGGATCTCGAATCGGCGAGCAATTTTCAAGTGACCTGTCTCTGCGACAATGTCATTTCACATCCTTCTAACACAACCCTTACGCAAGCTCTCTTCGACGTAGTCCACACCACCTGTGGCGTTCAAGAAAAATTCACCTGCAAAGGTACCTACTATAATATTTGTCCCCCATTTTTTATGTTGTTGTGGTTATTATAAGAGTTTTAAAGTTTTAATCTTGTGATTTAGTGATGCACGTTATTAATTACATAACCCCAATCCAGTTTTACTTTTGTTATATGGTTACATAACTTAGAATGCAACTACTATGTTCATTCATTTCCGATTATTTGAAAAGAAAATAATTATGCCGTAAATTCATAAAACACTAAACGGAAGTTGTAAATCAAAAATTAGTTTTGTCGCCAAATTAAATTTGGAAAATGTTCGTATAAAAATGTTAAAAAAAACTCCAAAGCTTATTAATTAGAATCGGCGATAAAGGGATGCCGAGGTTGTAATTTTAAAATCCTTTAGATTTTGTAGATTCTTAAAGTGCAATTTGAAACAACGTTGTGGTGATTAATCGTTTTGGTTTTGTGTGGCGAAGGAGGAGACGGTAACGGAGGAGCAACGAACAAGATTGCGGCATCAATGGGTTTATTTGGTTTGGTTGCAAGTCTGTTTTTTTAATTCATTTTCTATTTGGACCTACCAAATTCTATGTAATTGGTCTTCCTTTTTTTGGTTTGTATTTTTTTCCGGCTTTTGGTTTGTTTTAAAATCTGTCAACTCGAACAAATAGTTAATTGCTTCTGTAACCATTTGATTTGAATGATTGTATTGATTACTGAAGTCTTATGAGTCTGTAAATTATTGTTGGATTATCTTTACGAAATTTATTGAAAATATGCTATATGATTTTAACTATGGTTATTGGTCAGTCACACTAAAAACATTTTAAACTAAAAAAAAGTATACGGCTCTTCTATAAATCAAGGTATATATCGGTTCTCGGATACCTGTCAAAAAAAATGTTGATATAAAAGAAACGGTTTCAAACCATGATCAATTTTGTTGTTTGTTTTGTTTTGGACGTCAAAGTCTCCCTCAAGGGACATGCACGTACGTTGGCACACGGTGGTGCTAATAACTAAAAGAAGAAGGTTCCTAGATACCTATATATCTTAAGAACTATTTATAATCACTTCAAAATCACCATAATCTTGTGTTTAGATTCCAATCATGCTTTGCCAGTTTAACAGTCCTAACAACTTTTCTACATTAAAACTAAAAAAAAAAAGTATTCTAATAGCGTTTCTGCATGTGTCATTTTTTTTTTTTGACGTTTCCATTGCTTTTTTTGGACGGATGTGATTTTGATATTAAAAAGACTAGTAAGCTGTTAATCGTCCTCCTTGCAAATCGAGGAGACCAAAAAGGAAATAATAAAACCAAAAACCGATGTGTATAAAAAACACAGGTTGAATCAGTTAATGTGGTTCTCACGTCTTAGGCACGAATGCTTCACCCCAAATTTCCATTTCGTTACAAATTGTCAGCAGAGCGTTCTGGTACAGATCATTTAAATATATTTTATTTTCGTTACTGTAATATTCAAACCCACTTTTAGGTCTGTAATTTCCAATAATATTTAACTACATTTGAGTTACAGTGATTTGATGAAACGACTAACATTATTCATACAGGTCTCAGCCTGGAAGGAATTGTATTAGGCATTGAAATTGTGTTAGTAGTTGGCTTTCTTTACACATCACTGGAAGGGATTGTCGACCCATCTCAAATTATGATAAATTATATAATTTTAATGCTTATAAAAATTGCTGATTAGTTGTAGGATCTTGATTAATAATAAAACATATCTTTGAATTGTCAGCACTGTCCAGCTTAATAATGATTTTCGACATTCTGTCCCTTGCGCAATTTCTTCGCTAAATATTCCATTCTTTTTCTTTTTTTCTTGTCAAAGGCTAAGCATTCCATTTTATATGTTTAAAGTTTTATTTCAATTTCTCTCCAATATACATGAACACGTCACTACATAAAATATTTACCCTCAAAACAAATAAAATGCGAGGAACATGGGTAGAGAAAAAAACTCACATGTTTCTAGTCAACTTTGTAAAAATATAAAAGTTTAAATTAAACAAGGATTATGAAAGAGAATTGTTTGTATGACAGCACACAAAAAATAAGTTTATAAATTATTTACTAATAAATAATGTACATTCCACTCCAACAGTCCTATATATAAGGTAATGCACATTTTGAGAAGTCACATAAGAACAACAAAGTGAAATAATAGTCCCCCTATAAACAAAAACAAAAAAAAAACACAAAAACTTTTGCTTTTGCTAGTGTTTTAGACATTCACATGGCTTACATTAACAAGGTTTCAGTGGTTGCAACGGTTTTATTTCTAGCGGTTGCGATTGCTCCGGGTTTAGCTGAGCCATTGTCGCCGATGTTTCCAACGATGAATCTTACATGTGCCACGGTGATGCCTGACCTCCTCGAAAAGTGTTTCGCAACCGTTAGAGAAACGCCAACGGAAGAGTGCTGCAACGATCTCAAATCCGCGAACAAAACGCAAGTCACTTGCCTTTGTGATCTTTACATTGCAAACCCGGCGATTGTGAACATCACAGGACCTTACTCCGCCAAAATCACAAACCAATGTGGCGTTTTGGACAAATATTCTTGCAACGGTACTAGCAAAGGTACGTATACATAAGCAACCATCTTGTGACTCATTATGCATGTTATGTAGTTGTATAATTACCTAAGCATGCATATCATTACTATTGTGTTTGTTATACATGTGATTACGAAAATTACGTTAGAAAAATTGCAATTTGACGATCACGGATTACGCATCTACATTAGACGTAGGTTTGACCATGGTTATCAATTTATATAAGGTGGAAAGCATTAAATATCTTGGAGAGGGTATTCCATTTATTGCCCATTCTATTAGAAAATCATAGAGACTATAGATAAATGTTACACCAACAACGTCACGAACTTGTTAATAAATATGCTAGACCAAAATATATGGGTGAAACTGTATAAACCCATAGACTTTTGAGATCATAGTGCAATTTCAAACAAGAATGGTGAAATTCTGAATAATTAATGGATTTTTGGTTTTGTGTGGAAAAGGAGAAGAAGAAGAAGAAGAGATAGAAGAAGGAGGCAGCAGCAATAGTAGCAGTAGCAGCAACAGTAGCAGTAGTAGCAATGGCAATAGCCCAAGTGAGGGCAATAAAGGAAGAGTGAACACAGTTGCTGCATCGATGGCTGTTTTTGGTTTTGTTGCAAGTCTAATCTTCGGTATGTTTTAATTTCAATTTCACTTCATTTTAATTTTGGACCGACTAATTTTGTGTGATTCTTTTTCTTCTTCTTTTGCCTTTTCCTCCTTTCTAAATCTGAGAATTCAAGTTAAGTACGTTCATTTGATTTCATATGTACCCGTACGTGTGTCTTTGAATTACTGTATTTATGGTCGTGTCCTTCATTTATGATGATATTTTTGGATTAGTTTGTATATAAGGCATATACAGGGCACCGAGTTAAATTTAATTTAGAGGAAATTATCATGTATAAATTAACATTATGAAAATAAAGGAGAAACTATTCACAAAAAACAAGAAAAACAATATAACATTCTCATTAAATAAATTAATCAAAATTACTAAGGTTAATGAACCAATATATATATTTATATATGTAACCATTCATACATATTATTTAAATTCGGGTAATATATGTTCAACATGTTACAAAATTTTTTTTAGAGTCTAGAGGAGAACTCAGACACTCAGACCGAACACAACAAATCTCCCGAAGGAAACACCAAGTCTACGAGAACCACCCAATGCCTCACCGAACTCGCTGGCTCAAATAACCTCCACCACTCCATCATGAAGCCTAGGTGCAGGACTTTAGACTCTAAAAATATTTATTTTTATTTTCTCTATAATGTATTTACATCTATATTTATTGCGTCAATTTTGAAAAATCCATTCCTATTATAAAGATTTCATGTAATTTTGCACTTAAGTTTAGCAATACCAAAGTAATAATAATATGTTCGAACAAAACAAAAGTAATAATAATAATATATATTATTGACAATCATGGGTATATATGAAATAATATGTGATGATTATTTATTTTTAAAATGCTTGAAATAAAATTCACTATGTTAAAACATGAGTATATCCATCTTGAGTAAATAAGTGTCTTTTATAATGAAATTGATTTTTCTCAAATAATAATTTAATTGTATTAAAAAACATTAATAGAAAAAAGTATGATACATAAAAAATAAAAATATGTCCGTGCGTAGCACGGGTTGTAATACTAGTATTATTTAAATTCGGGTAATATATGTTCAACATGTTACAAAAAATTTTAAGTCGCACTTTTTACTTCCCATTGCTTGAGGTGACGAAAGATTGCAGCAACATCAAATGTTTTTATTACTGGTATTAGGATAAAAATACAAACTAATATAGTCAAAGGAAACATAGGTTTCTTCTTACAACTATCATGCGCTTTGTATCATTGATCAATATATCAATAATTTTGTGTTGGCTAAAAGAATGTATCTTATTTTGTAGGTTAATCTGCATAGGATGTACAAATGTGGCTCTCACGTCTCCTAAACTAATGCTCCGCACGGAGATTCAATTTATTCTCTCAAGCCTTTTATCAGTATTTTTTTCTTTCTTATAATATACTTGAACATGTCACAATATATAAGATATTTATTCTCGAAACAAATCAAATACGATGATTTTAACACTAAGAAAAAAATCAGATCAAATACGAGGAAACTTCAATAAGGATAAAGTCGTATATTGGCTCAAAAATATGTACTTACAGCGTAAACACACACATATAACTACATTCTTGATTAATAATTACCAAGTGTCAACAAGATACATTCCAAGACGTATCTACGAATATATAACGATACTTTTGAGAAATCAGATAGGAAGAAAGTGAAATAATAACAAGAAAAATCAACAAATCATGGATTATACTAAGAAAATTGTGATGGTTTTGCTGGTTCTAACGGTTGTGATTATTCCGGGAAGGACGGTGGCACAGACAAAGCTAAAGGATGATCCTGTATGTTCGTCATTGATGGAAGACCTCCTCGAAAACTGCTTCAGATCTCTTGGACACCAACGACCAAGCAGATTACCTTGTTTTTTTTTTTTCTTTTTCTCTTTTCGTTTGGTCCATAATTTGTTTAAATTCTTGTTCACCATTCGATACTATTTATGGCGGATTCATAAATATAAATAAACTTTCCTCAAACTTATGTAAAGCTTTAGATTCAATTTCAAACTTACGACTTTACTTCAATTTCAAACTTACGACTTTACTTAAATTCTTGTTCACCATTCGAATATGTTAGCATTGAGGTAAGGGAAGGTGGCCTAAGACCTAAAGACAAGAAATACTTTTTATCATGTGTAGATTAGTTCTTAAGCACTCGCATTAATTGGACCGCTCTTGATTATATTTAAAATTAAAAAAAAAACTACAATTGTTATCCGTTATAACAATCTAAGTAAAACAATGTATTTTACATTCTGAATACTAGCTAGTACATATTAAAACATAAGGTTTTACGGCTCTGCGTTTAACACGTATTCAAGTAATGATGAAACCACATACTGTGATAAATCTAACCGGTTAAACTAAACCGTTTAGTTTGTATTTGGATGAAACAGGTGACTTGCATCTGTGATACATTCGTACCGAAGCCAGGATCCTCCAACATCACCCGATCTCCCGCAGACGGACTTTCAACCTTGTGTGGTGTTGCCGACAAATTCTCATGCGGTATTATTAGTCAAGGTTCGTATACTATGATTGATATTGTTCTTAATCAAGCATGTTCTTATTCAGTTATGAGTTATCATGTTTATGATATCATCATTTACTATATATTATTTTTAATATACATAGTTACGTAACTTACATTGGAATTTTGAACATGACGCGCGATTGCAGATTACGTGTAATTTATTTATGAACTTACGGAGTTTATTACGTCGGTTGAGCATGATAATCATATTTTATTTTATAAGCCCAAATGCAACTACCAATATACATTATTTCTTGATCATATGAGAAAGAATATGATAACTTAGATATGGATCTAGATTAATTTAGAGTTATACTGAAAATCGTAGACTACAGCCAAGAATCTCATGAAGTTATAAGAATGATTGTGAGCTAGCTCATAGTGCAATTTTAACAGAGACTGATAATTAATTGATCTGGTATTGTAATGTAACATGTGGCAAAGCAGGAAGAATGAAACAAGGTTGCTATTCGTTGCAATTCTGTTCGTCGCTATGTTTTAATTTATCAATTTGGACCAAGACAAAATTATTTAATTCTACGTTTATATGATAGAAAACATGATATTGATACTTGGGTATGCAAATATTTTTATCAATATCATGTTTTCTATCGGATTTAAATTCGAATGATAATACGTTGACATTATTTATCAGCACACACACAAACCATTCAATTGCTTATTTCTGGCCACATTGGTCTTTGGCATTTTTACCGTTTAATTAATTTCCTCACTTTTCACTCTTTTTAAAAAAATATTCTTGATGTTACTGCGCATTATTTCTATTGTATTTTCGTTTTGAACCCTTTAACGATGACTTGCGTATCTAGTCATGCACAGTTTAGTTTAACTAGAACTCGTGTTATGTACAGATCTTATTTTACTTATACTTTTAATTGTCTAGTTCAACTATTAATTTTTTTTTTTTAATTTCCTTAATATTTTTATAACCCTAATAATCTTTTCTATTTTTTTTTATTTTTTATTTTTTTTTCTTTGAAATCTCAATCTAGCAATTATTTTTAAATCTCAATCTAACAATTATTTTGAAATCTCAATCTAGCAATCTCAAAATTCGTCTTCAGTTGATTGAAATTCTTAATCTATCTTTTTTTTTCATAACTTATTTTTTTCGATCATTTTTATTTTTTAGAGTTTACCATATTTATGTTCTGTTTTCACATATTTCATTGATTCTATTTATTTGTTATCATATTTTTTTTCTATTTTGTCATTTTCCTTTTTATTTTTGATAATTTGTTATATTTTCGATTGTTTAATGAATGTTTTTTGTGTTTTGTGGTTTTCTAACTCTAAAAAACTTGTTCTTCATTTGTTTAAAATTTTCTTAATCTATTATTCTCATTTTTAGTTTTATTACTCACATTTTTTCTTTATTTTTTTATAAACAAATTATCTTTATTAATTAAAAAATATGAATAAATCATATAGAAGAAAAAAAGAGTAGACAAAACTAAAATCTCAAATTTTTTTTTTTATACATTATGATATTTGATTTAAATTTGAATTTAGTTTATATTATTCTAATGATTTAATATTTTAACATAATGAAATTTAACTTAAATTTTATTTATGCATTAATAATAGAAATAATTTTTTGGAACATGTATCACTCTCTCTAGTGCTGATGTGTCACTTAGGTAGTGCTGATGTGTCACTTAGCTGGAGAGAATTGAGCAATTTTTATATATAAGATAAGAAAAAGTAACTTTAAGTAGTTTATAATTTAATTAGTTAATATTACAATTCTGTTGCACTAAAATCGTTTCAGTTTCACTTTTAACCTTTTAAACAATAAGAGTAACCTTTTAAACAATCAGATTGCTGAAATTTTTTTTCCACCTTATTCATTTTGGTCCGGTTTGGTTCAGTTTTATCGGTTAGAGTTTTTGTTTTTCTCTTACGAAGAAGCGTGAGTCCGGTCCAAATCCGCCGATACTTATCCGTTTTAACATAGAGAGAAAGAAGCAGAAGACTAGAAATCAGAAGGTACTAGAAGCAGAACAAACCCTATTCCTCTCTTTTTTTTCTCCAATTTTCGATTTCGAAACAAAGACTTAAAAAGAAAAAGACGAGACTTTAACAACACTCAGACCTAAACACACACTTTCTCTGTCTCTCTCAGATCGGAAGCAAAGGATGGATTCGACGAAGCTTAGTGAACTCAAGGTCTTCATCGATCAATGCAAGTCAGACCCTTCCCTTCTCTCTACACCTTCGCTCTCCTTCTTCCGCGAGTATCTCGAGAGGTTTATTTCCTTTACTCTTTCCCTCTCTCTTCGTTTGCTTCGATCTAATCGTTTTCTGATATGCTTTAGTTTGTATCTTTGGTCGTTGAGACTCAGAAAGTATTGATCTTTGTGTCTATGCTTGTGGAAAGTGAGCTTGTTCGTGTATGATATACTGATATTCCGTTGAAATCTCGTGGAAATTGATATACGCTTTTCTCTCTTGTAGATGAAAGTTCATGTCTTTAGTTTCAATTTCTCGGATTTAAACCTTTTTTTTTGTAGCTTTGATCTCTTTGGCTGTTCTATCGTACTTTAGAGGGTCTGAAATTGCTTGTTAATCTGAGGAGTGTTCTGTGGCTTTCTCATTCTGATGAAATTTTGGAACTTTTATGATTTCAGTCTCGGTGCTAAGCTACCTACTGCTGCTAATGAAGCACACAAAGACACCAAAGAGGTATAACCATTATTATGCTTGTTTGAATTCGTTTATGGTTTGCAGAAGAGTTTGTATTTGATTGATTGTTTCTGTTCAACAGAAGAGTTTCGTAGTGGAAGAAGAGAGTGATGATGATATGGAGGAAACCAAAGAACCGAAAGTGGAAGAAGAAGAGGAGGAGGATGAGATTGTTGAATCCGATGTAGAGCTTGAAGGAGACACTGTTGAACCTGATAATGATCCTCCTCAGAAGGTAAATATTGACCGAACCGAATGAACAAAACCTCAGCTTTCGATTTTTCTAATTTCTCTCTGTTTATTATCTCTTAACAGATGGGGGATGCATCAGTGGAGGTGACTGATGAGAATCGTGAAGCTGCTCAAGAAGCTAAGGGCAAAGCCATGGAGGCGCTCTCTGAAGGAAAGTTTGATGAAGCAATTGAGCATTTAACTCAGGCAATAATTTTGAATCCGACATCAGCTATTATGTATGGAAACAGAGGTGAGTACAAGCTGATATATGTTCTTTTATAACTTCCACCAATGGCATTCTGTGCCTAAATTAAATGCCCTGTATTTGTGTTTCAGCTAGTGTCTACATTAAGTTGAAGAAGCCAAACGCTGCTATTCGAGATGCAAACGCCGCATTGGAGGTATAGTAGTCTATTACTTCCCCGGGAATTTTGTTCTCTTAGCTATGATACTGAATCTTCTTTTGTGTGTTTTGAGATTGCAGATTAATCCTGATTCTGCTAAGGGATACAAGTCACGTGGTATGGCTCGCGCCATGCTCGGAGAATGGGCAGAGGCTGCAAAAGACCTGCACCTTGCATCTACGATAGACTATGATGAGGAACTTAGCGCTGTGCTCAAAAAGGTATGCGCTGGCTTGTCTCTTCGTTTAATCTTCTTTTGATTCATAAACAATGCGTTCGCGTGCGTGATCAAGTTGCAGACTTTCTTGAAATTTGTGATCAAGTCGCCAACTTTCTTGAAAATATTGTGATCAAGTTGTAAACTTTCTTGGAAATTTGTAGGTCGAGCCTAACGCTCATAAGCTTGAGGAGCACCGTAGGAAGTATGACAGATTAAGGAAGGAAAGAGATGACAAAAAGGCTGCACGTGAGAGACAACGTCGCCGCGCTGAAGCACAGGTTAGACCTGTAGAATCTTTTGATAACATTTGCCTCAATTGAATTTGACATTATCAATTCCCTAGATACTTGTCTGCTGGGCTTATCCGTGTCTCTTTTTTCTTTGTAAGGCTGCCTATGATAAAGCTAAGAAACAAGAACAGTCATCATCGAGCAGACAATCAGGAGGTGGTTTTCCGGGTGGTATGCCCGGCGGGTTCCCTGGAGGTATGGGCGGCGGATTCCCCGGAGGAATGCCTGGCGGATTTCCGGGAATGCCCGGTGGATTCCCAGGAGGAATGCCCGGTTCAGGCGGTATGCCTGGCGGTTTTCCGGGAGGAATGCCCGGTTCTAGCGGTATGCCTGGTGCAGGCGGTATGCCCGGTGCAGGCGGTATGCCCGGTTCAGGCGGTATGCCCGGTTCAGGCGGTATGCCAGGTGCTGGAGGTATGCCTGGTGGTGTTGACTTCAGCAAAATATTGAATGTAAGTGTAAATTAGCAAAGTTAAGATTTTTGAAGTTGTATTTGCAAAGAAAGGATTAAAATTTGGGAAATTGATTTTAAAAATTTGGGAAATTGATTTTAAAAATTTGGGAAATTGATTTTAAAAATTTGTGACCAGGATCCTGAGCTAATGACTGCATTTAGCGACCCGGAAGTCATGGCTGCGCTTCAAGATGGTATGACTCAGTTAAAACTTGTTGCATTTGATGTTGTTGTAACTCTAATGTTTTGAGGAGTTTTGTTGTTTTTGAGGCTTATTCATAATATGTTTTGAGTGTTGAACAGTGATGAAGAATCCTGCGAATCTGGCGAAGCATCAGGCGAATCCGAAGGTGGCTCCGGTGATTGCAAAGATGATGGGCAAGTTCGGAGGTCCTAAGTAAATCAAGACAACTTTTGTCTTTGACATTTCTGGATTTAATTGCGTTGAGAAGAGAGATATGTTGAAGATTTTTTTTTTTTTTTTAAAGTTTTTTGTTGTCAGAGAAACTTGAACAGAAACATAACCTTTTTCTTTCGTTAGTACCAGTGCTCAAAATTCCGCTATGCGCTAAGCTACGGACTAGCGTCTACCCCATTATAAGTAATATAACTTATAACTACTATAAGAATCAACAGGTATGAAAGAAATGTATTTGATTTTCAAAGTAGGAAAGCATAAGGTAATTAAGTTCAAACTCATATCTAAATTAAAAAAATAAAAACTAAAGAGAAGTACAATTACATTTGCTATCATGTCTTGAAATTGAGAGAGAAAAAAAGTTCAAAGTCATTCTTTTTTCTTTTTCAATGATCAATTATTATGATCAAGTTATTTGTGTGTTAGACTTCCGTTTGAACTTGTTACTTAGTAATGAAACCTGCTGAAAAAAAGAGAAAATAAAATCAATTTTCAACAAAAGAAAAAACAAAAATTCTCAATAAGAGAATATCTATAGTCAGTTATACAAGAAAAAAACCTCAATAAAAAAAAAGAACAACTAAAACAAGTGAATATAGTCAGTTATACAAGAAAAATTCAAATCACTATAGTCAGATAAATATAGTCAGCTATACAAGTGAATATAGTCAGATATAGAAGAGAAATCTCAGTTATAGTTAGTTATACAAGTGATCTGTATAAATTATATATATATATATATATAGTCGGCTAAATATAGTCAGCTAGGCCGTTTTTTAATTTGAACATGGGTTAGTACCGAGTTACCGTTAAAAGGTTTAAAAGATGACAAAGCAAATCGTTTTAGTACCGAGTTATCGTTCTATTAATTTCTAAGAAGTAAATTTTGTAAAGAATAAGATGAATACAAGGGTACACTCGGTAATTTTGTATAGTTAGAAAAATCATATGACCATTCTAATGATTATTTGATACAAGTGTACACCGTGCACTCTATGTCTCTATGAGTAGACAACTTAGCGATTCCTTACCATACTTTGATGTAAAACAGAAAAAAGGGTAAATTTTGTCCATCAAAATTCTTTAGCTGAAACTGTTTTTTCAAGGGCATTTAATGTGAAGAAGAAAAAAACTCTTTTGTTTAGTTCGTTGACGAAATAAGTGGAGACCAAATATATACAAGTCTAGTGTTGACGTTATTACATTCCCAATTAATTTTTCAAATGATTTGACCTGAAAAATAAAAGCTTTGGAGTTATGTCTAAGAACAATTAAGATGCTATTTGACTTATTTGATCAGATTCTTATAGAGTTAAATCAAATATTTTGTATCTATAAGAATCTGTCCACTTGTAATTTAATAGCAATTGAGGAACTATGTGGTTGGTAACAAAAGCTATTTCCTATAATTATTCTACACTTATGTGAACTACTGAACATGTTTTTGAAAACGATATGAAAATCCATACTGTTTAAAGATTATTGCTTCTATGGGTCTTTTTACCAAAAAAAAAGAAAAGAATTTTATTGGTGCGAAAACTGATTCAACTCAAGAAGGATTGTGATGTGGATGTACACTGGGAAACTCCTCCACATACTCAATTTTAACTGATTAAAATCATATCGTCTTTGAAAATCATCAATAAAAATTATAAAAGATATGATACATGGTCAATGTTAGAAAACCCAAAAACAAATAGGAGCCACAGCTCTAAGTTAGAAGGTTCAAACGTTGATAGCGAATCTTAAATTCTTAATCGTCCAAATTAATTCAGAAATTACTCGGTTTGGGTGTTGAAGAGAGAACTATATAAACCCAATATAGTTCAATGATAATCGTCTTATGCGTCGAGGTTTAACAAAATTGGTCTTTTAGATGCATGTTTTTTCGACCACTACAAATTTTATTAACGGTTATGGAGCCTTAAGTAATTTGAATTTTGGTGTACAATTTTTCGAGTACTAAAAAAACTATAACTAAAGAATCACAGTCGTTTTCAAAATTAATTTAGATTAGTTTTAGATATCGATAAATATATACAAACCAAAGTGAATTAACCTTATATTTTCTTGACTTTGACGAATCCTTGCGTACACCATACCCTAACGTACAAACCATGGTGCAACCTTGCTGCTTACATGGATTTCTTTGCTACAGTGATACTATGTTTATAATTAATTTATATGCGTATATAATACATATAATGTACATATATGTTTATGCATAGAACATGACACCTATTAATGCTTGTGACTCATCTCCGTGGAGTATCCAATATGTCATGGTGAAGAGTCAAAAGTCAAAACCCAAAATCATGAACACCAAAGTCTTGGCAATAATCCATTAAAAATGTCCAATCTTTGCCGTTGATTCTATCCGGTGACCACATCGGAAAATCTGCTCCGGCGCCGGAAATATTATCTTCATATAATGTTCCATCAACTCCATAGTTAATATCACTCCACGAGGCCTGACCTATAGTAGTTTCGTCGGACCATAAGTAACTAAACAATTCTTCATCATTACAAATGTTACCAAGTTGATGATTTTCATTATCTATGGAACTGTTCTGATCAGTAACCGTGCTGCTGCTTTCCTCTTCTGTAGTTGCACCAGTTCTCGTCTCTACCTTTTTGGTGCTGCTTGTCTTTGGTTCCATAGAGATGATATCATCTGAAGTCGAGGAAATGTTATTGGGATTAGCTGTACTATTTGGTTCTTGGTTTAGAGGTTGATGGGTCACAGGGTCGATTCCCATTTTAACAAGCTTTTTCTTGATGTGAGTATTCCAATGGTTTTTTATTTCGTTATCTGTTCTTCCGGGTAATCTTGAAGCTATCTTAGACCACCTATAATACAGCAAAAATGTTAATCACAAGAATAGATAATATTTTATTAAGTGTTGGTGGAGATGTTCAAATCTTGGAATATAAACACAAGACATTTGATAAAATAAGTGAACATTATTTCGGAAGAGAAGGACGTTACTTTGTCTTGAAGTTTATTTTCAAAGAAAAATAAATGCAAATAAAAATTTAGTTCGTCCATATGATTCTACTATTTTGACCTTCATATTTGGAACTGTATAGTTAATATGGGCATATATAAGTTGCAGAACTCACACATATATACTACTCATGTTGGATAATTCACATGCAATGCAAACCAATATTGTTTATCTTAAGTCTATTGTTACAAGTTGTATTTTTTTTTTTTTTTTTACTTACAATTAGACATAAACACAAAAAATAAGTTTTTTGATCAAGCTCCGGAAATCCGGACATATAATCACTAAGTAAAATTTAGCAAAAATCTGTGGGATTAATTAGCATATGATATGTAGGCTTACTTGTTGCCTAGATGAGCATGAAGGTCGATGACAAGTTGTTCCTCATCATGAGAGAGAAGGCCTCTCTTCAAGTCCGGACGGAGATAGTTGGTCCACCGGAGGCGGCAGCTCTTTCCACAGCGGCGGAGACCGGCCAACTTTGGCAAAGCTCGCCAGCAACAATGGCCGTTGGTGAGCATGAAGTTTATGAGCTTCCTGTCTTCCTCCGCCGTCCACGGCCCTTTCTTCACCCCTAGCTTGTCACAGCATGGCTGCCTCCCCATTTAATATTATTGCTTATAATTATATGTGTGAATGTATATATATGGGAATGTGAAATAAAGAGAAGAAAGAGGGAAGAGATGCGAAAATAAGAGTTATTGAGGATGGAAAAATCTCAACAGCTTGTAAATTATGTCAAAAGCTTTACCAAAGCTCACCCACCTATATATAACCTTCTCACACCTTTCCCCCCACATATTGATTTTTTTTGTTTTTTCAGAATTGCTTTTAGGAAAAACAATAACTTAATTTACATTTATATAAATAAAAGTTTCATACTTCCTCCGTTTCATAATAAGTGTCATTCTGACATATTTCACACATATTAAAAAATTAATAAAATATACAAATATATTCTTAATTAATATATTTTTATAACATTTAATTACAAAAACTATTATCTTTAAATGAGGGATAAAACAGGAAATAAAAGTAAAAATTACATTGAAAATGCAAAATAATATTCTTTTTGAAACAAAAAATGAAATCTAAAACGACACTTATTATAAAACGGATAGAGTAATTTCTAAGCACGAATTTAATGGTGTTAGAAACAGTAAAAGAAGAGTAGATGACTATAACAAATATTACACTCTTATATATATATAATAAAGTTTTATTAGGGCTTTACAATAATAGAAGTCAACTGAAAATATTTAAAAATCATATAGTTTTAACATAACAAAAAAATAAAATAATGCATGTTAGGAAATGAAAGCAAAACAAGTCTGGCCTCGTTAAAAACTACAGTGGCAAATTTTTCTATTTTAGTATTCGACGCGGTAAAGAACTACCAAAAATAAAATTTTACCGTCTATTTCTCAGTTTTTGCTGTTTTCTTTTTGTAGCAAATATGTGTCGGCACTTGAAACAATATACATCTCTGGTTATAGTGGTTGAGTATTAACCAATCAAATTTATCATTTTGGGTAGAATATATCATTAAATAATATTTTAAAATACTTATAATGTAACTTGGTCTAATATATTACCTATTTATCATTAAATTACAGAAAAAATATATGATCAGAAAATGTATCGATCAGAATATTTTTAAGGTACATACAATGATACAACCTATGTATGTATATACAGATGTCATGATGGGGAAATTACAACAGTTTCGACGAAGTTCTTTTGTATCTTACTTTATCTATGAATATCTATAGCATTAATGATATATCAATCGTACATCTATATACAATGGGTCATACCGTTCATTTATTTTTATATTGAATGGTCCATTTTAATATATAAAATAGATCAATTAGGAGTTAATCAGTTAAAGAATTAAGGTTTCTTATAAAAAAAAAATCTCATAAAAATGATTAAGGTTAAGAATTAGCATAGTCTGTTTTACTTAGTCAAATCTGTCGCAAATAGGCTCTCATAAAGAGTGTTGGAGATGTTGCATTTGGTTGGTGAAAATGACTTTGGAACTAATATGAAAGGATAGGGTGCGTGCCAATGTACGCAATTACACGTGCGACTCATACATTTTTGAACCAAATACTTGTTCAATATACTTTGTATTTTACCATTATTGCCATAAGCTGAAAAGAATATACTTAGTCTCTCCATTTCACAATTAATATAATCAACATAAAGGTAAAGAAAAAAATATTTTGAACGAAAACATTTTCTCAACTCAAATAAACCTATTTACGTACGGTATATTGATATAAATCATAAATGTCAAGGAAAAAGCTTCCACAGTGTATATTGAAAACAATATCTTTGGTCGTCGATACGGGAAAATAAATATCGACGAATATGTATCTGACACGTAGGTGTTCACGTATAGAAATCACTATAGCAATTTAGGTTCAAGACAGTTCTAATCTTTGTGACTTGTGGATAACTTGCTATTCTGGGTTCATGGTTTTGTTACAGGGAAGTCTTTTAAAGTAAAATATTCTTTGCCGTATCATATTACATAAATTTTTACCAGACGTGTGATTTTGTGTCTCGGTTCTTTCATTTGTTTACTCCGATCGGAAGTGTTTCCAAAAGTCTTCTATAAAATAATGTACGCTAAATATGGTATTAACGGCGCCATCGAATAATATAGTGGAAGCTTAACCAAAAAAATGACATTGTGAAATACTCTTATATATCCTAATATGATGAAACATGGGGATACAAAGCAAGATATTCATTGGTATACCGAAATGTCAAATAAAAGTTCTGACCCAAATTCTAAGAGAATACGACATTTATCGGTTTTTTGGTGTTTATATATATGTTGCATTTTAAAACTTAATTTGAGGCATTGAAGTGCAATGCCAACACGTTAAATTCTAATGGATTCGGATAATCAAAAATCCGCAATATACATTATTATTTCTTTCAAAATTTCTATGCAACAAGGGTCTCTCTATGTACTATATTATGGTAACAAATCAGAAGACTGTTTATGTTTCTGCTCTATGACAAAGTTCAATTCAACGAAATGAGTTAGTAATTAATGCTTTAGCATTCTTTTTCTTGATTCCGATATCTTTGACTTGTGCTTCGTACTGCAACTGCTCAAAATAATACAATTACAAAACTTTTTTTTTCCTCTTATAACGATTTTTTCAACACCAAATACAATATATGTTCCCACCGTGAGTCACTAGATTCACTACTCTTATTTCTTCTTGCTGGTTGAATCATTATTTTCTAAGTAAAACATATAGTACTTACTGAATTTCTATCTTATCAAAATAGTTTACAAAAATTAAAATGTTTTCGGTTAAATTATCATGTGTGAAAATATGATTCCTTACTTCATAAAATGAATCTTAAGTCACCACCACTTCGTACAAGTTGTGTCTCTTGTCTTCTTTGTTAATCATGGTCCCCCGACAAAATGTAACTCACACAGGTCCTAAGTGTTTGTTTGCGTGTGATTAAGACAAATCCTAATGACAGAAAAATTAATAAATTAAGTAAAGGAAAAAGGTTTCACAATTGCTCGTGCATACGTAAATTAACATAATTATTTGAGCATGTACATCAAGGGATCAAGAGAAGTTCATGGCACAATTTTTGAAGCAAAAAATCTTAATATTAAAAAGACAGTATCATCCCGACGAACTTGAAGAGACAGTATCATCCCAAAATGAAGCATCCTGATTGGTTAAAAATTATAATTTTCGAATTAAAAAAAAAAGAAAAACCTAAAACTAAAAAAAAATATTATTATATACTAATGAACCTCTTTCTGGTGAACTTCTTAGGGATTCACTGATGTACATGCTATAAGAAGACATCTAATTACCAACTGCCAATTCTATTGCAAATTGGTCAGAAATGGTTATTTCTGATATATTTCCAACGAGTATAGTTCCTATATATCAACATATAATGTAATAACAAAATTTTAAAATATACACAAACTTGTAATACTTTATTTTCTCATGTTTCTTATGTTATTTATTTATTTATTTATTTTTTCTGAAATGGACGACACCCCCCCCGGTCATTAGTCGATTAAGTCTCTTAAACTTAAATAATATATCAACACAAAGTATAAAGTGACATTTCAACACTTGAGGAATCGAGACTTCCGCTCTAAACCCCACAGGCCACCACTTTCTTCTATTTCTCTACAACTCTCATGTACTAATTATTATTAATTAATTCAAGACTCTTAATCATCGCAGGTTCCCTTAATCAAACTTTTTAAAATCAACTTCTTCCTTTAATCCCATTTTCAAGTCACCACTTACGTAACTTGCGAGTAATGCCATCGTCATTATATTATGCATGCATATATATGTATGGAACTATAGATATAAAGAGGTGGCATTGTCGTAGCGAAGTCATTTTTGTCCCTCCCTCTATATATATATATATATATATATATATATAGAGTATTTTTTTTAATTACTAATTACTAAGATACTAAGAGTATCATTTTTTTTTTCAGTTTCTGTAAGAAAAACGCCATGTTAGTAAATTGAGAACCAAATTTGCATGACATATTTGCATATAACTAATAGTCTATTTTGTTGTGTGTGGGTGTAAAAAACTCTTATTGTAAAGAAAAAAATCAAGACAGAAGAATATTTGTTAGGATGTTATTTTTGAATCATATAATGAATTTAAACCAAACAAAAAAAATCATAAAACAAGTTGATGAAGGTCTACGACTTAAGTGAGAAATAACTTGGGATTGCCTCCTAACTCGCCTCATCTATAGTACGGTAGTACCACTTTCTTGGTTCTCTTTTTAAATGAGCTTTCGTATTGGTTCAACTTTAAGTTCTATAACTTCTTAGCCGTAAGCCATTTGACCTCAGTGTTGAAAAAGTTTTTTTTTTTCTATTATAAGTGCTACATTACTTATACAAATTGGATCAAAATGGTTTGAAATATTTAATCGGACCTACAAAGGAGAAAAAGAAAGAATCAAAACGTATGGATGAGAAAGTTTTTTTATTGATATTACATTACTTATACAAATTGAATCAGAGTGATTAAACATATTTAATCGGACCTACAAAGGAAAATGTTTTCCGACAAGTTACATCTTCTTGTTGGGTCTTGCATCGCCACGAACAAATATTTGTAAGGCCCAAAATTATTTAGTAAATTATATTTTGGCCCACGATAGTTTTATTTGAACCATACTAAGCCCAGACACGTTTGATTGAACCATAATCGTTGCTGCTTCATCCGTCTTCAACAACAAACTGTACGACGAGTTCGTTACCGGAGAAGATTCGCCGTTCACTTTTTCTTCTTGCTCTTTTTCGCCTTACATAGGTGCAATATCACTTCACTAGCATGTTCTTGATATTCGATTGAGATTTTGTTCCATCTTAAACTTTGTAATCTTCTTAGATTGTTTTGATGCTTAGTGCTTGGCTAAAAATGAAAATGAATGATAGTATAAGACTAAGCCCCCCAAAAAAAGAGAACAACAAAAACTTATAAAACTCACAGTCTTACTTTGAATTCAAATGGTATAACATTGCAAATGGTACTAAACGTTCCTACTAGAAATTGGTCGCATAGCTGTATAATGGTGCTTTGCGGTGCTGCACTTGAAAATTGAATACTTTTGACTTTTGAATAAT